ATAATAAAAAGTAGTGGTGTCCGCCTGTCTGTCTGTCATGTCCCAGATTCAACTCGAAGGGGAAAGGAGCTAGAGCTTAGCTCTCTTCGGATTCGGATAGAGCATGGTCAGAAACCCCAAAACTGATAAAAAAATTATAAAAAAGTTTGAATTTAAATTATTAAAATTAACTTTGAAAGTGTTTTCCTTAGGAAATGGGGTGGGGGCCCCTCTCCCGGGAGGCCATGCCCCCTTTCCCTTCGCCCCTCTTCCCCAGGCCCCTTCCCGCGTCCAAATAGCTTTTTAAGTTACTTTAACACTTTTAATACTTTTAATTATATTTATTATTTAAATCATTTAAAGTATCGGGATGGAATCTAAGTAGTTTTTGAACGGGGTTTCGGCTATGGGGGGTATCTGAAGCCATCAGGAAGGTATTTAGGTAGTTTTTGAAGGGGATTTCAGCCATGGGGGTATCTGAAGCCATCAGGAAGGTATTTTGGTAGTTTTTGAAGGGGATTTCAGCCATGGGGGGTATCTGAAGCCATCAGGAAGGTATTTTGGTAGTTTTTGAAGGGGATTTCAGCCATGGGGGGTATCTGAAGCCATCAGGAAGGTAGTTAGGTAGTTTTTGAAGAAGATTTCAGCCATGGGGGGTATCTGAAGCCATCAGGCAGGTATCGAAGTAGTTTTTTAAGGGAATTTCGGCTCGGAGGGGTATCTGAAGCCATCGGGAAGGTAGCTATCTTTTCGTGGGGGGGGGGCTAGAGGAGGTATCTGAAGCCATCAGTGTAGGTATTGCCATGAAGGCATCAGCGTAAGGTAGGGATGAAATGTGGTGATGTAGAATATGGAGGGTAGCCCGAAGTCCAGCCGATTACAGTCGCGAAGCGGCTGTAATCGGCTGGTTGTCCAATGGTTTTTTATTAATATTCCAAAAGCGAAAATCTTTTAGATATCCATATGGCTTGCTAGCCTGCCTAATCTAACTGAAGCTATTGTTGCTGGGGGACCTTTTTTTGAGGCTTTGGCTTCGGCTTAGCTTTAACTTTCCGTAGACTTGACTTACATCTAGCTTAGGCAAAGGCTTGGTTTTGGCATATCTTTGGCTTAGCTTCGACCTAACTTAGACTTAGCCTGCGACTAGCCTAGCCCCAGCTTAGGATTTCAATTATTATTTTTATTTTATTTAATATCCAAATTCCAACAGAACCATTAGCAGGAAAAAGAAATTTATTGAAAAGCTGAACATATGGAGGCATAATTCGATTTGATATCCTGGAGATAATCCTCGACGTCACTTGCGGAAGTCCAGAACTTGATTCCATGTTCTCGCAATTCGCTTTCCTCCATGCCAATGATGTCGCTTGTCATAGTAGTGATGCGATTCCAATGGGGCAGCGCATCCTTGGCGATTTTCATCCTCTCATCGTGTGCAATTTCGGTTAGAATTTCGTCGGCTTTTCCCATTCCACCAAATGTTCCACCGAACAAATTTTTGCACTTAAAATCGTCGACTATTCTGCGGTGTAGAAAGTTGGCAGCAGCCGGAACGTAAAAATCAACGATAGATAGGGCTTTCTCTTCGGTCGAACCAATGTTTTCTTCATTCAAGTCGCGTATTCCAAGGATTAGGGAGAGCAGATAAGTCTAAATTGGATTTTATTAAATAAATTCGGTTCTTTCGCACTATCGGGGGAGCAACTTTCAAAATATCATAGAGGAATGGCTTCTAAATGGATTTTTATTATCCTAAACGTGAGATCTTTACAAATTTGTATGAAAAAATCACAAAAACATCGATTTTTAGACAGAAACGGCCGATTTTTGTCCAAAACGTCGATTTTTTTAAGTTTTTGATATGCTTCTAGTTGAAATATAGTTGTAATTACATAACTATGACAGCTAATTACACCGACTCTAGTTACTCTGCATTTCTAGTCTTATACAAACCGTTCGGGTCCTCCCCCCCGATAATGCGAAAGAACCATAATTTCCAAGCCCTTTGAAAAGGTTCTTGAATTCCGAATGATTGAAATTGTATTACCTCAACAACTACTTTCTTTTGCAGACTAAAATCCTCAATGTTGTGCAGCTCCTTGAAGTTTTTGACTTCTTTGGTTGCTATGTAGTGGATATACGTCGATCCATCGTAGAATGGGAAGAATACGACGGGTCCAACTCCAAGCAGTTCAAGCAGTCGATATGCGAAGATTTCGCGAAGATCTGGCGGGTGATGCTTTGCTGCGTGTCGCAGAGAAGTTGAAGATCCGGCATTGTGATAGGTTTTCATATAGTAATTTGTTTCTTCATCATGGCAATTTACGGATACCACGATACCAGCCCGAGTACCACCTTCTTTCTCCTTAAAGTCGATTTTACAATTGGGATGCATCTTGGAGAAAAATGTTGTAGCGCTTTGTTTGAGATCATGCTGATCAAATCTGAAATTCTGAAAATCCCTTATTTTATCAATTTCTCGGTTCTGGGCTGTTAGCGGGGGGGGGGGACAAATTTTCCCTTGTGATTCTCTACGGCCCTACAACAAAATACAAACAATTTTTATGGCATTTTACATAGTTTTGTTAGAAAACAGTATAAAAGAAATAATAATTTTCGAAAAGTTTTGACTGTTTGTTGTGTGAAAATGTTCAACAAAGTCAAAAATTTCAAAGTCTTGTTGTAACTTTCTACCAATCAAAAACTACTAAAAACACTAATAAAATAAGTAATTTATCATCAACAGGTAGACATAGGTGGAAAAATGAAAAGTCCTTTTCTCCCCAGGCTAAAAATCCGCCCCCCCCCCCCTCCGCTAAGAGCCTAGAACCAATTTTGCTAGAACAATTTGAATTAACTAACAAACCTCAGCATTTGGCCCATAGTATCACTCCACTGTGCAAAAAAAGCGACATAAGCTACGAAGAATCCGGAATTCTGCAGCGCTTTTGAACATGCAATTGCTTGATGTGCAAACTTGGTTCGCGCGAGCCGTGGATTCTTCGTATCACTGGCACTTTTGCAATACTCCAGATATGCACTCCACGTACCCAGAAGCGCATGTTTCTAAAAAATGAAAATTTCAAAGTGGTTTAAGATAGTGTTGTAAAATTCACTAACTGTATAAACTATAGACCGTAAATTCTAAATCTAAAAATTCAACTTACCACAACGAGTTCTTCGCCAAATCGAATTGTTTGAATAGGACGCAGAACAACGGGAAGATCCTCACCGCGGAATTGGAGTTGTTGAAAATCCTTTGGAATACATATGAGAGATTCAATCTTCTTTTTCAGGTCAGTGTATAGAATCTGAAAATATAAAATGTTAATCCTAATTTTATTTGATCCAATGTCATCTTTTTAATACTAATTTTAATTTATTTTGCCAATCCATTCAAAAGTTAAACCTGATTATCCACTTCAATCGGTTTGAATAAATGGTCTTCCGGTCCTCCAACCAAACGAATCTTAATCCGGGTCATATCTAAAACGAAAGAATTCATGAAATCAGCGAATTGCGTAGATAAAACCGTCTCAATACTAATTCGAGGATGTGAGGATTTCGGATTAAAATATGTTGATCCAACACCAACCAATATAGGTCAGTATAAGTCAAAGAGGTGCAGATTCAAAAACACCCTTTACCCCGCGTAATCGATTGATCTATGAACCGTCACGGTTTCAAAAAATTGTAGTTTCAAATCAGTTTAAAATCTTAGGTTTGGTGCAATTTGGTGCGATGTTGCCGAAGCTTCTGGTTCCTCTGTTCACCGTTTCTTTTGTACAATGATGTGGCTAATTCTACGACTGAAATGCGAAGTAGGGATCTTTAAGCTGACGTGAACCCTTTGAACTTCAACAAACTACAAATTTTGATGTCGAAATGGCTGCCACCAGACA